GCAATTTGCAGGCATTCAGTTGGCTTGCAAATTCTCGGCAAAACATTTCGTGCATCCATACAGGAATTTTGCCTTCTTATCTTTTTTATGGTCATTGCATTGGTACTTTTCTCCAGTGGCGTTTATTTTGCTGAGCAAAATGAGCCAAATACAAAATTTACCTCAATTCCTGCTTCTTTTTGGTTTGTTCTGGTAAGCTTTATCAATTCTGTGCGATTATCTTTTTCATATATTTAAATAATTTACTTTAAGAATTATTTGTGTAACTTTTTTTTAAGAATAACTTATCAATATTTTCATTTTAATTTATTTTAGGTTACAATGACTACAGTCGGGTAAGTTCTGTTATGCTTGCCTGAAATATATGTTTCGATTGTTACTATTGTTGTTGTCGTTTTTGTTGTTTGTTAATTGATTTTTTAAAAATTATTTGTTGAAACTTTCAAATAATACTTAATGGCTTTAAATGATCAAATTTTTGAATTTTTGAAACTAAAATTTCAATTCAAAAATTCACAAAAAAGTCCCCTTGGTGAATATGAAAATTCCTAACTTTTAAGTCATTTATGTAGATAGCTTTTTGTACAATTAAGTGATGTTCATATTTATGGATCACATTTAGTTTAAATTATTCTAGTAGATGAAAATTTTAGAAAAAAGATTTTAATAAGAAACAAAATGTGATTTACAAAAAATATTGTAATAGGAATTAAAAAGAAAAAAAAAAACCTCTATTTTTAATTTTAATGCCATTCAATTAAATGGCTGAAACGTTTAGCGAAATGCTTTTGATATTACAGAAATTAAACTGAAAATTGAGATCGTTTTTTTGTCCTTTTCTAAACATTATAAATATTTTGGTACTTTCTTAGACATACGTTACGTACAGTTTAAATATAGTCTTTTATTTTTTCATTAGAGCATAACTAAACGTTGTCGTTTACGTCACACAAGAATTATTAGCATGCGTTTTATCTTTTTATATTGAAGGAAACAATATATTTCACACGTTTGCATTCAGCTAAACTAAACAAATACCACAATTTAGCTAAAAATCTTTTTCTTTTGTCTTTTATAATAACTAATTATTTGTTATTTTTTAAACCATTCAAATTAATAAATAATCTGAAAAATAAAAATAAAAATCTTTAATATCAAATTTTGCTTTTTTTTTTCTTTCAGCTATTCATTTTTTTGTCCAACTTTTGAAGTGCTCGCAAGAATTTGTAAAGTGTTAGTACGGTTCAAGTGGAAATTTTATCCTTACTGCCATACTTTGAAATGTTTCAACAAATTTATTGCTTTTAAATGAAGTATATTTTTTTTAAGGTATGGAGATTTAACACCTACTGGAGTTTACGGTAAGATGGTGGGTGGCTTGTGCGCACTAATTGGTGTACTGACACTTGCCCTACCTGTACCTATTATTGTAAGTATTTTTGTGGTAAATTTCTTGAAAGTGTTGAAAAAAAAACTGTTAAATTATTTAAAAAATTCCTACATGTCCTAATCTTTACACTTTTGCTAGAACTATTTTATTGTTTGTTTATCTAACTTTCAGGTAGCAAATTTCAAACATTTCTATCGACAAGAAACACGATTGGCACAAATGCGCGCAACAGTTGAAGATGAAACAAATTCAGAGGAGTCATCATCCAGGTCACCATGACAATTAAGCAATGAAGCGGCATGGACATGCACTTCCTCTATCGCAAAACATACCGCTTCATTGATCACTTTAACGACATCTTCCACATCATCGTACTAAATGACTAATTAAATGATGGAAAATTAGCCAATTTAAAATTACTCGGCTATTCCATAAGGAAAATTCATATTTTTGACACAGACACTGCAAAAAAAAGGACGACTCAAAATTTATCCCAATTTTCTTATTTTATTTTTCTCTCCATTTCACTCCGAATTGTGATCATTCTGCACTTTGTTTATGTGTATATTTTGCTGTTACCGTTGCTCATAACATTATCATTGACGAAAATATCTTGCACATATGGGTAATGCAATTTGAATATGAGCCATTTCTATTTCAATGACAAGTGAAATAAATTGGAGAAAAATGCAGCACAGTGAATTGAATTATCCCAATCTCATTTTACAACTAAGAGGGAGGAAAAAAAGACAGAAAAGTTTATAATTTGAAGAACTCTGTTGCAAAATAGAAAGATCCTGAAAAATGATCTGGAATATTTTGATGTTGAATATCGCTTGTATGAAAATATGAATTTTGCAATAGTACAATATGAAGTATAATTTTTGAAAAAAATTTGTTTTACAATTCATATAACAATGAGTACCATATATTAGGACGACAAAAAGTCAACAAAAACTTTTCTGTTAATCTATGTAGATGTTCCCGCAACTTTAGTACAACAATTTCGATAGTTACGATGCTTGACTTCTCGCATAAAATGAAAGAGTATTTTAAATGACCGGAATTTTCACGCGATAAATAAATTAATCACAATCTATTTATACAAAAAACTGAGTGAAAGAACCATTGCAGCTAGTACTAGTAGAATTCGGAAATTACAGGCCATAATAAACACACGGCAAAATTGTTAAAGACTATACATTTTATCATTTATTTAACCTTCGGAAAAATAATTCATCTAATATTATACTATTCTGTTAAATGGTCTCATTTTTATCAATTAAACGATTATACATTGTTGGAATACACACAGTTGCTGTGGTTGAACTGGTATCTTTATCATTACTAACTGTAGCTGGTGATAAATGTCGTAAAGATATCTCAACTGATGTCTTCGCTCCTACTGTCGTGAGAGTATCCTTTCTGTCCAAATCTAGCAAAGTGGGGATGCTATCCAACATAGAAGTAGGTCCGTTACTTGGTCTTACTAGGAAATTACTTTTCGAATCTCCCATAGAGCAATAATCGATACTGGATGGTGGTGAAATTGTTTCTTTATCATTAATTACAATAAGGGATGGGGAAGTTTCTGACGCTGATCTTGAAACGCTATCCAGTTCGGGGCATAATATCGCAGAAGAACAAGCTACATTACCATGAAGTTGATGTGTACTATGCGGAATTGCAATCGTAGGAACTGCTGTTAACTCATGAAGAGTATTTCTCTGAACTTGAAAATTCAGGGAATTATCCACCAAACTATCATGACTAAATGTTACAGTTGGTATGGACAAGTTTGCAGAACTCGTTTCTATATTAATCAGACTTTCAGATGGTAGGGGTAAGTCATTGTGCAGTACCTTGTCTTCTGTAGGATCAGGAATATTCACTACAGAAAACTCTGACTCATTTGAGTGTGTGCCGGAATAATTGTCATCTGTCGTTGGCATTTGTGTGTTCGATATAAGTAAGGAATTCAAAACATCGTTGTCTACCACACTGTTTGCAACGAAATCAATTGCTGGTTCCACTCCAGAATTTGATAATACTTGCTGCGCATCATTCGCATCATCCACAAGAAAAATTTGCTAGAAAAAATATTGCTGAAAATTTATGGCTAAAAAAAGGAATCGGTTCAACATTTAAGACTATAATCAAGAAACAAACTTGGACAAATAATTAATAAATTTTGCGAAATTACATTTCTGAACTCTGAAGTTTGTAACAACTAACCACGCCACCATCAAAGTTTTCTCCAACCTGCTGCTTCAACTGCATAAATTCCTTAGCTGTTAGAGTAATCTGTTGTTCACCTTCTACTGTTGATTCATCTGTTCTCACTTCTCGCAAAACAATTCCACTCCCTTGTTCTGGAGGCAAATAATATAAAAATTCAACAAACTTTCTCATCTCAAAACTATCTGACAAAGAACTTTAATCAGCAAGACCTAATTCTCCATATTCCATAGTAATACAAACTCCCTGTTTTCCATTTACAAGTTCTATAAGTTGAAACTCAATATGTTACCATTAAAAAATCAGAACCTGTACCAGCAAAATCGAGAAAACATCCTATTATGCTAGGATTTTCATGCTCTATTGTTAATAATTAATATCTTGCTACTACAGGCCAAATTAAAAAGGCTCTAAATTCATAAAGACTCGAAATTTTTGATTTATGACCTCATATATTATCTTAATAGATTCAGAATTTTTCTTGAAAAAATCAAATTGTGAAGGAGAAAGAAAAATACCGGGATTGTCCACTTCTGTCATCAAAACATACAATCCATCATCCTGAATTTCGTCAGCATTGATTAATTGTACAACTTGTCCCGTATTCATTAATCCTCTGCCATTTGTTTCATGCACGGTGATAACTTGCTCTCTGCTATTAACCAGACAATTTTGCAAATGATTATATTCAAATACCAGTTGATGACAAGTTTTTCTATGGTGAATAAAACGATACCTAAAACTTAACGGTTGATACATAGATACCAATATCTTGTCTTATAAAAAAGTGAAAGAATATTAAATGGTTTGATTTGCCGTTAAAAAAACAAACCTATCTTCGAAAGAGAGGTTGCAACACCACCAAGTTACTTTTCCACGATCCATGTCCACTTTTATATTAGGCAAACCTTTCACTTCAATTATCGCTGAGAAGCAGTTCTTATTATGTACACGTTGCATGTGACGTATAAGCAGTGATGGTTTCACAGTAGTCAAGCCACATTCGCTACACTTTGCTCTGAATTAAACTAAATAATTGATCTCGAGAAAATATTTTACCCATATATAATATATCATCATATATATTATTATTTCGCAAGCATTAGAATGATGCAAATCGAAGCTTTCTTCATAAATAAAGAATCAATATCCAATATTAATTTGATTTTACTCAAAAAGATCCTCTTGCTCACATGTATGGATTTTGATTCAGCACAGAAGCACGATTTCCTGAAGAACTATCTGCAAAATCGCTCCCAGATAACGTTTCGTTTTCTGCTGAATTATGATCGGCAGTGATCAGTTTCACAGTATTCTTTTGAATATTGCTTACTGCACCAGTGACAGATGATTTTTCCGTTCGACTGTATGATACACTATGTACATTCTTTTTATGCTCATTCAATTCATTCACCGATAAACATACATTACCACACCATTTGCATACATATCTAAAAATATGAAAGAATATTTTTTAAAAAAAAATTCAAATCTAAGCATTTATATAACCTCTATTAAACAATAAAACCTCTTCTTATGACTAAAAATGTTGTCACAATCTTCAATACAAACAACTGTCACATTAATATTTCAATATATCCTTGCTTCGATCCTTTAGTATTAAAAAATTCTATTCTCACCATTTCATCAATCATAAATTAAAGAAAAATAACTGCTATCATCATGAATGATTAGATACAATGCAACGATGTTATTGAAATACAGTTGTAGGACAAATAAAAATGATTTATTAGTCCTGCAATCACATTTCAGTAGCACCAACATCACTGTATTGATCGGAAATGGTTTATATATTCCCACCTTAACTCATTCCGTAATATTACTATACACAGTTCCAGATTAGCAAGTGAAAGATAATTTTAATAAAGCTGACAAATACAACAAATCTAAAAATATTTCTTCATTTTTTTCACAACAGCAGATACTGTTGTTCTGAGAAGAATTGGAAAGAATTTTTGTTTCGAAACTAATGGAGAAATTTAAGAATTACTGCACTCACTTTCGTTTTCTAAAATGCGATGATTCTTTGTGTAGCATCAAATTTTTCTCATTGGCAAAAACCAAATGACACTGATGGCAAGTACAACGTGCAACGTACTGCAATATATATAAATCTAAACATAAAGACACTGAGATATCTTTAATGTTCCCAAAACGACTAATGCCACCATTTAGTTGAATTCTGTGATCAAATAAAATTAAAGGATAATGCGAAATCAACTTGCCGAAGGGCCAAAATTTGCTAATAGTTGTCGTCTTAAGTCGTCATTTTTGCGATGGGCACGAAAATGACTCATCATAAATTCGCAATTAGCTTCAAAACCAAGACCACAAATATGACAGCTCAAAGTACTTGTGCAATATCTATCAGTAGAATGATCTTCGGATTGCAAATTTTCTAAAAAAAATACGTATCAAAAAACAGGATGCAAAAACATCTGAATTATTTATGCAAAACACCTAAGTTTCCAAAGCGTATTAGTTTAAAGAAATCCAAAATCCTCAATATTATTTAATCTTTAATACAAAGCTCTATTTTCTGTTAATAATCCTTTAACAAAAAGTGTATGCAAAGAAAATGCTTACGAGATCGTCTTACAACTTCGGTTAATATTCTTGTCTTTTTTAACGCCTCACGTCGCTTTTTGACTATAGCTTTGAATGCTTCCCTCCTTAAAATGAAGATAGACTAGAAAATACATAAAAAAATAGATTAAAAGAATAGTACGTAAGAAAAGATGAAAAAATTTCCTAATAAATTTAGAGCAATCCAATTTGACTTCACTCATTAGGAAGTCAAATTGAATTACTCTGGACAATGAATTAGTTCTTTGCAAATCGACAAAAAGCAACAGTACTTCCTCCACTCGTTATGAATCCTTGATATTTCTTCCATAACTTCAGGAAGGTGTTTCTTGTGTTCCATTTCAGTATGGCGTTCCAGACCAAATGACGTCAAAAAAATACGATCAGGACAAAAACGACAAGGGTATGATTCCACTTCATTTGCCACACCTAAAATTATTTAATGTCTAAATTTGTCAATCTCCACTAAAATTTAGAAACGAAAATTCGATTAAGTAATTCACTGTTCGCATTTACATTGTCGCTGCATATTAACTACACTGAGAAAATGAGTCTTGAGTAATTGATAGAATTATTAATGGCTACGGCAAAATATTACAATCTTTGCTAAATGTTTTTCACCGTTGTGAGTATCAGATGCATGCACGTTATCTAGCAGTAAAAAAAGGCCTAACTTTTCTACAAAAATAAAGCTTGCTATATTAAACGATCAGATGAAAAAATATTTCAAACCTGGAAGATTATCACAGAGATGAAACATTCGTCCGTCGCCGGGTAACGCAGAAACTTCAACGGTAACACGGGATGAACTAGCTTCATCATCCACTGATATAGCATTATGAGCTTGAGTATGTTGATAAATTTGCGATCGGTTGACATCGATATAGAATCGTTTCATCGGTTTCCATTGCTCTTTATTAACGTCAGCGATCCGCATCATTACTCCACCTTGAACTACGAACCCTTCTTCAACCTCATCATCCACTTCAAAGTCGTTATTGACACATTCTTTTTCTAGAAATTCATAAAAACAATGCATTATCTGGTCTAAATGGCACAGCCTACTCTCCCTCATTCTCTGTTATTATGTGAATTTAAGAGCAATTTATTTCAAACTTTTTTTCTTAATTTAAACTTAGCAAGATGGATATACTTTAATCTTCCCTGTTAGCTCATTGTCCACATAAACGATACATGTATATAAATCTGTAATCGAGAATTAACTTCTGCTGTAAATGGTCTACCTCTAATAAAATGTACATAATTGAGATGAGAGGTCAGAAAGTATACCCTTTTTGGCTGAATCATTTGCAGGACGTAGTCGGCCTCTCGAGATTATTCGCGGTGCTTTCTTGCAGTGCAGCTCTGAAACCTTCGTTTTCCTCATTTTTTTTCCATCCTCCCGAAAAAACCAGAAAGTCAGCTAACACTTACTCTCGAGAGAAGAATGAACACAAGAATGCGATGAATGATGACATGACGGCCAATGGCAAAATACCAGTTAGAGCAGCTGCCGGGTGATTATCTAATCTGTCTCCGGGGGTCTTGGGGGATGAATGCGTGCAGTTGATGTCCTGGGCTACGGTTCGGGACTCCGGTCACAATTCTAGCAATTCTTGAAAATCAGTTCGAAAGAAGTATGGGACAGAGATACCAGTAAATATCATGGAATGGACATCATGGACGAGATGTGATGAATGACACTGCCGTCCGCGACGGAAAGATCCGATGGACAACGAAGAATGATCAGCTGCCAGGTGTGACTCAAATTATTCAACTTCATGAGATTGTCTCCTTGTTATTTCGGCTTGCTATTTTCCCTTTGCACCTCATATATCTAACTGTGGTAAGGAAATATGCAAGACGTGAAATTACAAGAGATCCCGATATTATCGAGAATGACGGCAGCAACTGTCGTAATTATCTTTATGCCTTTACTTTATCGAACTTTGTGTTTTTTCCTGCGTCCAATAAAAAATATTAGAGATCTCAACTGAAATGGCATTTCTTCATCATAAAAGCAGTTTGAAAAAGCTCATCTCAGTTGGCATTAGAATGTTGAAAAAATGATATGAATTGGATGAGTGTCCAAATAGCGAACTTCGAAATCCTTCATTTATTTTTATGGAAGCTTAATTAAACAAGTGTAGAACAACTATCTTATGAACCCATGTCACTTATTCATGATCAGTTCTTGCAGAGTAACCTGTCCTTATCCTCGTTTCCGGTAAGGTAAGATTGTTTGCTAATATTACGAAGCGGAGTAACCTGTCCTTATCATAAGATTGTTTGCTGATATTTTAAGCACAAAATAAAAGAAATTGATGTGATCATTCTTTTCCATGGTATGAATCGATCTCTCATTCTTTATTTAAAAGATATGCATGAAACTTGCATTTTTCTTTTGCACGTTTATCTACTTGATGATAATATCCTATGACACCTTTCATTCTTATCAGTATTGATATTCGGTAGTCCAGTAGGAAAAGGTACACCTCTATGCTATGCTATCAAACTGAATGGGCTTTCCTGCGATAGAGCGGTACATATGAAGTATGCATGTAGGTCACGTATCATTTACGTCACTTCGTTTCACAAATAGCTTTTGCATAGATGCATTCCATTTGTTCTATCATTGTGCAGCTGTGATATTTGTGTCACAATGGTGGTGTGATAAACAACAAGTAATCATGCAGAAGTAATTTTTAAGCGAAGGAAAAAAACAGAATTATGAGATTAGAATCAAAACTGTTACATCACATAAAGTGAAGGAAATATGCACCAGTTTGGAAAAAAATTTATTGACAAAGTGCTGCAAGCACGCTAAAGTTCATCTTCTTACAGAACTTTAAACGGTTTTCCGACAGCGTCCAGCTTCACACTTGAAATCTTCAAATAAATCTTTTTCATATACTTATGTCTATGTTAAAACAATCACTTTATAATTATAATCATTGTTTACTTCTGGCAGCATAGATTCATGCAAGTCACTACATTTAAGTGCTAAATTATAAACAGTTGCGGAATTTTATTCCTTTTTTTAAGTTTATCGACTCTGAACTACAACAATCACTCATTTATTTTAATAGTTAAATGGTTTTTAACCAAATTGCAAAAGATATAATATTAGTTGCAGTTATGAAAGCTTTATAATATTCATTAATTCCTTTTTAATTTTGATGCTAGAAATAACACGATTTTGCAAATTTATGAAAAAAAAATTGGATTTATAAAAGAAAATATAACTAAGTCATCCGGATCTTCACCAAGCCATTTGTGACACGGAAATTGATATAATGTATGATGCATATGTTCAATGATGTAGACTGAGTGCAATAACCAAGGTTTGTATTCACCCTTTTTTTCATGCCACACTTCCAGTGATTTCAGCTTCGATAATGGACTTTGATCAGTTAGCAAGAATAAATCTGACTGCAAGTAAACCAAATGATAGGTAGGTTATTTACCTGACAAATGTATATTATGAGAGATTAGGATTTAGAAGTCATTTAGAAATTTCATCCAAATAATTTTACATAAATATCCTTTTGATGATATTAAACAAGTCAAATAAGCGTTATTGGAAGCGGTGTGTAAATTCAGATTTCTTTCTTTTATCCTTATCTCAATTTGAAAAATTTGTCTTACATGGCCCCGTTGAAATTTCTTCCGATGACTGATTGAACACTTAAGACGCATTTTATCTGTCTTTTTACCATCGACATCTGTTAACTGCAAAAGTAATATTTGTTCCTAACTGATGTACAGTATACATTGGAAATAAAGTTAATATTAGAATTTCAAATTTTTATTTCTAATTTGAAGAAATGAAGATAAACGACAAGCATACTTGTACAAATACATTCGCTGTGGTACCTGCATTTTCTTTACCACTTGTTCGAACTACCACTGAATAAGCACAGTCAATGGCTGAACCGGAATAAGATGATTCTGTCATAGTATCTTAAATTTTTGAAAATCTTTATTATCGAAAGAGAGGTGTAAAGCAATTTGAATCAGATAAATTATCTTTCATCCTAAACTGATCACTCAAACATGCTCAGTTCAAACTTCGGTAAATTTTTAAGGATTTAAGTAAGTTTTTAAAATTTAAGTAAATTACTTATTAAAATGAAAACAAGTCATTACAAGGAAAACGAAATATTGAGCAGTAAATCTTTTCATAAACTATTTTTACAGCTTACATCAGAATTTTTGAAACTTTTTCATTCAATAAACCGGCTTCTCTAGAAATGAAATTATTGCAAAAATGGATAAATTTTGTAATTGAGAGATATTTATGCGCTGTTTACCATTAATTTTACTTCATTTGACAAATTAGATTTCTATGATGTACCGGAGTAGAGGATAAAATTTAGTGAAAATTGACTTTAAAATAAACCTAACGAAATCGATTAACTCTCCTCAGTTTCCTGTAGTTGGCAAAACTGTTACTTCTTTCCTTATTACCAAATAACGGGTCTGATTCTTAGATGCGTATTTTTTATAACAATTCAAACGAGAACAGTGCTGTGTGAGTCTTCTAAACATGGAATTTTTTTTTTATGCATATTAATAGTAATATTTAGCATATGACGAACCAAAATATATACTGCTCAAATGTCTAGCCAAGTTTTGTGTCACATCTCAGTAAACAACTTTTAGATATATTTTTATGTCGCAATTGATCTCTTTATATCGAAATATTCAAATATTCACTTTGCTTCAGAACTAAATTTAAAAGGATACATTTCAATGTGACTCATTAATTGATGAGCTCTGCACAGAACATTTGTCTATTAAATTTAAACTACATAGAACAATGGCATGGGCCAAACTATTGTATAAAGCAAGATGAATCAAAACAATTAATGCAACAACGATAAATCAATTCCTAAACATGTAAATAAAGCATATGCTCTTCTTAAAGATGGATCCACGATGACGAATACCCTGTTTTAAACAAATTGCGAAGCTAATAATAAACGAAATTTTTTAGCAATCGAATCAATTAATTTGATCTCATGCATTATGGTAATATCATTTCCTGCAAAATGACAAACGATTTGAGCAAAGCAATAAAAAGTAATCTTTTTATTTCTTAGCATCCATTCGGAATAAATTTCAAAATGCACAACTGATGTATGTTCCAAAAACAAAAGACGTCAAATATCAACTTCACTATTTCATTATTCAAGAAAAATTCCACTCACAAACTTCGAAAGTGGATAATTTGACAAATAGTTTACTTTCACATATATTCTCACTTATACAGATTAAATCCCACTCAAAAAAGTCTCAATACTCAAGAAAATATTACAATGTAAAGTCATACTCTTAACAACATTGAAAAACGAAATGAATTCAATGATAATAACGAGGCGATAAAATATACTCACCCGAAGAAGTGTTTAATTTCGAAAGAGGTTGATAAATAAAGAAAGTTTCCGGTGAAGATGAATCATAGCATCTTTGACTTCCTTCATCATCACCAGCATTTTTCGCTTTCTCACTTCTGTTCCTGGATATCACGTCCATAGTTTTTTTCATTGGTTCAGAATCCACAATATGGGCAATTTGGGAATCGCTAACATTCTTCACCAACGTCCAATAGAGTCCCCACTGTTCAACATTCGAAATCACCGTAACTTGTTTAACCGGATTTTGCTTCGGTCCCTCGCATTTCCACATAGCCAAATCTGACGAACTAATAAACAAACGTTTTTTGAGAGCTTCTGCAAGTTTACTTAACCGATAATATTGCTTTTGATGTATCGATTCATCGTTCTCCTCTTGCAGATCATATATTTTCAACTGATTTTTTACTGATGATGTGTTTTGTAGAAAAGGTTCAGTGTCGAAAGCTGGATTATTTGGCTCAATTTCATGAATTGTTATATCAAGAAAGCAATCACGAGATTGTTCACTTGCAATAGTAACACTTTCGGAATCATCAATATATACGGTATGAGTTTGGAAAATATCACTCTCGCTTCGTGTATGTCGTATAGTGATAGATTCGTCAGATTCAAAACTTAATTGGGAACTGATAACATCTAAATTTGGAAAGCTTCCATTCCTGTTTAAATTTTTACAATCAATTTGAGGTGGTGGTAGAGTTTCCAAAAATTTTAGGGAGTTATCCATAGAATGGGCATTTGTTGAAGTTGCTGTCGATAGAGATGCATGCAATTTCGGACTATAAGTTGTCTTTTTACCATTTTTTCTACATTTTGAGTTCAAATTATCGAATTCTTCTGCAATGGTAACAAACGAAGTACTGATTTGAGATTCCGAATGTGGTGAGGTGAATACGGTCTCTGAAGATTCAGGAGCAATCAGATCTTCGCAATGTGAAACGCTGGCTGTTGCCGGATCTACTGAACCTTTATATCTTAATGAGGTTAACATCTCTTCTAAATTTAAACTTGATCCTTCCAAAGATGTGATCGAACATGCTGCTGGATTCTTCAGAAATCCATTGACAAGGATTGGTGACAGTGGCGGTATTCTCTCTGTGTTTACTTTCCCATTCATTTGGAATGAATCTCCTTGTGAGCAGGTTGGTGAATTGCTATTTGACAAGATTTGCTGATGGAAGATTGTAATATTCTCGCTTTGTGTAATATTCCTTCTCATTGAACTTTCTTTCTTCCTAGATTTGATATTTTCAAAATCGGCAGCCAAAGAACGACAGACTTTAGAATGATCTCTTTTCAAGCCACTGTTCGATTTTCCAATACTTGACAGTCTCTGTGACCGAACGTGCGAACACTTAGCAAAATCGAATTTTGGCCATTCCATCTCTAAAAATGGGAACAAAATAGGAAACCACAAAAAACAACAAACAGTTTTGCCTGAAAATTTCAAGCAACCATTGCTTCTACAATGAAATAGAAAAGAACTCAAATCAATTATTTCTTAAAATCCTCTCTTCAATTAACATCGAAAGATAAGCTTCATCACAGCAGTCAACTAATTGTATTCAAAACTAAAGAAAGATCACTTTAACATCAATCGAACCAGTACAAACCTTTACCAGAAACTAGTACAAACCTTTACTAGTGAAATGCACTCCAAATTATGGCTTTAGCTTTCTGGTATGAAAGAAATACATTTCCACTTTTTGAATCACACAATGCAATATTTTGGTACAGCCATAACAATCTACTCGCTTATCCAACGCATTTAGAGGATCTCAGGAATCTCAGCATCTCATATTCGTTCCTCAATTGTTTAAAATTATTTGGAAATAACTGCTCAACAATTAAATTTTTTTTCTCCTTTAGATTAACCACTTCCGAATTAAATCGAAACCACAATGGCTAGAGTACATGATAGAAGTTAAAATGTAGAATTGCTGTACAATGATATTTCGGAAAAATACATCCAGCAAACTTCCTGATCATATCAACAAAACCTGCCACTTCGTATACAAAACAATGTAGTAGGAACGTAGACTACCGAATCCTAGCTATCATTAGGTAGATGATCTAAACTTGTATATGCACATAATAATTTAAATATAATGCGTCACCAAAATGCTCACTGTCATTAATCAGATCAACACATCAATCACTGAACAATTTTCATTTATTGGACAAATTGAAATCTTTGAAATAACCAAAAAAAAACTAATGAAGTGAATAAGAACAGTGCATGACAAACCAAAAAAGCAATGCAAATAGATTTAACGTGTCAAGGAACACCAGTCAGCGAAATGAGAGCAACTGCCTTAATTTTGATATATATGTATCACAAACAAAATGCAAAATTAGTATTAATCAAACATCATATATTCTTTTCCACAACTTGCGAAAAATGGAATAAGAATAGAATTATTTGCTAGAATCTTCCTCTTATGAGGCTATAAGCATATATCTAACTACACTCTATCTGAAATCCTGTAAAATGCAGCAAAAATAGGAAAGAAAATATTTTGGAAATTTTATAAGAAATTTAGAAGGAGAAACATAACAAAAAGAAGAGATTAACAATAAATAGTATCAACAAAAATGAATAATCATAACCTACATATCAAACTTTTTGGTTTCAGTTTTTCTTCCAGAAGAACTCAAATGATGACCTTGTCTTATTGCACTCTTTTTATCCTGAAAAGGTCCCTCGCAGAAATACCTCCTGTATATATCCCCAAAACATAAAAAGAGAAGCCTGTAATCTTGTCTTTTAAATTTCATAAGAATCTTTGCTACAAACTTGTGAAATATATTGTTACGAGGATCCAAAATATTCGACAGAGAAAACTAAAAATGCTAATTATCAGCAAGGTGCAACACGACGACATTTTCCTCACCTATATGTGACTCCTCGCAATCGGATTTTTAGTTGTGTCCTCAGAAGAAACATCACGCGGTGAAAACGAATTTGTGGTGCAGGTTTTTGAAATCCCATCATGATCACAACTTGTTCTGATGAAAGGATTAGACACGCGCTTGCGATACACTTGTATCGGCCGTTCAAAACCTAAAATTCAAAAAATAACTGGAAACCTAATAAAGAATCACAAATTTAAGGTTCTAGTATTTTGAAGTCTCAAATTGCACCATCCATGGTCATAAATGGACAATACAAATTAAATGTGACAATTGGAAAACAATAAATTAATAAGCCATCAAATTAAGCAAACTGAATAGTAGAAAAAATACCTTTTGTATGTGCTTTGGGAGGATCGACGTACTGACAAAAATCAAAACCAATGT